TGAAAATTTGAAAATCGAAGAAAAAGGAAAGATAAATATCAATTGGATCTGTTTTATTCGTTCGAAACTGCACTGAGAGAAACTGGATATTGAAAATATCTACCAGCTCTGATTGTAATAACCATTATAAACAAATTTTTTGTTCCTGATAATTTTGTTATTCACAACAGTATTCCCTCGATTCTGTAATTATTAGAATCGCATTCTTGAAACATTTGTAATACCCTTGAATGGACATTTGCTACCATCATAATGCAGGTGTGTTATGACATTATGAGGTTTATATGAATTCTAGCCTATTTATATTTCTTATTGACATAGCTCGTTTTGTGAATTGTGCTCATCATTAATGAATTCAGATTTGTCCCAATAATCCTAGCTATTTGGTTTTATAGCATTGTACGTTAACGAATAACTATAGAAATTCACATGTATGACGGTTATTAGACAATCATTCGACAATCGTAATTCGGCGTAATTCTCGATCATGAGTGCCGTGTTCAATTATAATTGTTCAATGATTTCGATCCTTCGAATCGTGTTGGTGGAGGTGTGTGATTTAGCAAAATTTTGTTATAGTGCTGGCTGTGAACGTACCTAATAATACGAAGATGAAGTTGGTATCTATACATAGACTGTACGTTGTAACTAAGATGATTATCCAGGAATATCTATCTATTTTCTAATTTGTTCAGATATTTATGCTGAATTCAGTTGAAGATATGTTTTCCTCATTGTTACTTGAATAGTAGATATTATGTACTCATCTTTCCAGGTATTAGTATGTTTTTGAATAATTTATGTTGAAATCTCGAACCATCAAAAACTTTCACTTGAAATATTGAAATATTTGGAGGAGTTATATTTTCTCCAAAGAGAACATTGAAATCTCATAGTTCATATAATTATGATGTTTGATTTACTTGAACCAAGTCCTGAAGAAAATTTGTTTGTAGTTTTGTTCTGAAGTTTTTGTTTAGTTATCAATGTCACAATTTCTTTTTCAGTATTACGTTACTTTTACGATCACACTTCGATTCATTATACAGGGACATGATTCACTTATTTCCATGTCTCCTTTCATTTGGACCATATCTTTTTTGCTATCCCTAAAATTGTGGCGTCAAAAAATCTTTCCCTATATCTTTTCAATGAACCATTTGTTGGAGGTTGTATGTCCTTTTAACCTATCTCCTTAACCTTTTTTACTCACTTTTCTGGAAAAAAATGCATTCCCCATATATGATCGAGTGAAGATTTTGCTATCTATTATACGTAGTAGTTTTTCTTTAACTTGCCTCTATAATTTGTGAAAGAGGTCTATTGGGAGTAGGATACACCGTGCATTGCATCACTGCAATGTAAAAAAGTATTCTGCATGCCCACTTTTCACGGCATAAAACTGGTTTATTTCGAAAAACTGAATGATAGATGAGATTCTGAATTGGAATATCTGGGTTTCTGGGAGAGAAGTTTTTTTTTACAATTATTATTATTATAACTTCGTAGGAAGAGAAAATAAGTATTCAACTTCTCATTTTTTAATAATTCATCAGTATGCATATAGATGATATTTCTCCGAAAAAATCGAACACTATTGTTAAAAAAAACTTCTAGAGAAACACAGATTTTTCAATTCAGAAACTGACCATATTTTTTTGTTTTTTGAAAAAATCAACTTTGGATCATGAAAAGTAAGTGTGTAGAATATTTATTTTCATTGCAGTCATTCAAAGTACGGTTCATGATGCATACCATCGAAGAATGTTGATCAGATAAGCCAATTACCACTGTTTGATGAATAAACTAGAGTAGAAAAATATTGGGATAACTGTAGAAAATGAGCTATTTTACAATAGTATGTCAAAATGTCAGGTTTTATTCAGATGGTGACTAGATGGTGATTGTTCCAGCATTAGAAATTAAACTCCAAAAACGCTCTGTCTTCATATAGGCTAGAACTGTGAAGTTTCTTCACGATATGATCTCTTTTTCGCCTGATAGGAGAGAGTGTATTTGAAGGCTCGTTTCATTTTCAATTTTGGAAACCCTTTACCATAACTTAAGTTTGCTCACATGCTCACATGAATCGTGCATAAGAGACTCCACTATTTTTGTTATGAAGAAAAACAGGCCCAAGCATTCAGCTTTCCAGAAGAATTTGGGGAATTTTGACATTGACACTGACATCATTCATCATATCCTTGAGAAAATATTAGTTCTGAACAAGCTGTGAAGATGACTCTGCAAAAACAATTTTTTATATCAGAGCTAAGGTAGATCTCACAAGGTCGGCTCTTGGCCAAGAAAACGTTTAAATAACTAAAATTGTCACTCAACGGTATTTACAAAGGTAATTCCTTCAGAGAATACTTACTAGTTTGTAGTTGGTTGGGTGAACGTTGTAATAACGTTGTAATTTAACTAAGGTCATGCTATTAGTTGAGCAGTTGGAGGAATTGGGGTGGAAATAATTTCCACAAAAACGCAGTTTCCATTTTCTGAAGCCTCATTCGATACCCCTTACACTATGTTAAAAATATAGATGCATTCTTTCATGCAAAAATGTTTTGATGCATCTTTTTATATTTCAGGTGCCCAAACCGAAATGATTGTTTCACAACTCAACACATGTTCCGTTACCTATGTTAGGATCTTCAGGATAGGATTCAATCGAATTCCATAATCTTTCTAAAAATGATAATATGGTTAGCAGATCTCAGAATTCGTGTCGAGGTGTGAAACAATAATTTTGGTACGTGATTGAAACTATTCTCTGTAATCGTGAATGAAAGGTTCCATTATTTGATATATTATTCCAGGTATACCTAAATATAGTGAATTAAAAGCGATGGAAGATAACAAATGTTTATTATTTTCGTCAAGTACTGATGATAGTTCGAATTGTGTTAAATTGACTGCTAAAGGTGTACAAGGTAAGTGCTAGCAAGTAGCAGCAAGACAAAATAACTGAACTCTTGGAACCAGTGCCTATTCATCCTCTAATTGTTCACGTCGAATGTCGTCGTTTGTACGTAAATCTGAACAAGATAAAGAATGATCACAGGTTGGAATCAGATCCTGATAGAGAAGCATCAACTAGTAGCAGCAGCAGCAGCAGCAACAGAGCTTTGTGATCTGAACTTCCGACATTCGCATTCGAAGATAAATGTTTGTTTTGGGACCAATTCATCAAGGAAACTGAGAAAATAATCAAATCTGCAATTTCACCAGTACGAACTATTGCGTTTCGACAAACTATTATTGATGTGCGTGATGCAAGAAACGATTTTTGATCATCAAATGTCCTTGCACGTCTTCTTTTCGTTATCGATACTTGCCAGCAGCAGATGCTCTGTATAATCAGATAATATGTAGTGTGAATTTTGGAAAAGGCTACTCTATTCCTAAGAAACATCAACATGATATTCTCAATGAACAGACAAAGTTAGCAGGACCTCCTTCAGAAAAATAAAGAAGATTCCCTTTTAGAAATATGCAGGTGGCTCAAGGAAAATGATGAACCAATTTCAGTTCAGGAGTTGCTGGACAAAATAGCAGAGCTGCTGCCAGAAAATATCGAACCTTACACACTGTTCGTCGTATGCATAAAAAATTAGAAGAATCTTTCTCGGATGACATTATGATATTGAGATAAAAAGGTAGAGCTAATATGATCGTAATAGGGAAAACAGTTGCCAATATAATTCCTGATTATCAGCGACAAAATTTTTCAGAAGATCCAGATGCTGAAAAATTTCGGATAGTTGAAGCAACAGCTGAACTGATTAAGAATTTAATCAAGTTGATGAGAACATCCTTAGAGTTTTATCCTTCACCAGAAGAAATAAGTTCCGGGCAGGAAAATAATAAGCTTTCACCCGACATTTTGAAAACATTCTTGGATATAATAATCAACAAAAAATCCTCAAGTTTGGAGAAAAATTCAAATAAACAGGCACTAATGCAAGATGCAAGGCCACGATCTATCATATGTTCGATTCATCTAGGTGTTGGTGTGCAGTATCATCGAGATTTTCGATCTCGGGTACTTGTCGATGAACTTCATAAGCTTGGGTTTTCTGTATCATATGATGACGTACAGAAGTTCTTGCAAAACTAAAGTAGATGGACCTTGTGGAACCAGATGCATATGTCGACTATACGGAATATTTTGCACAGTATTGTGCAATAATTGTTCGGGAAGGTACCAATATTCCAATCGAGGAAGTTGGAGATAATGAATGAACTTCTGTCACATGCTAAATATGCCATTTTTATTAGGTATATGATTTATACGTATTAACGAATAAACGAATATTGGAAACACTGTATCCTTATTTGGAACACAGGTATCATTCTATATTTTCTCATATATGCTATTCTATGCATTCTGAACGGAGAAAAGCAAGAAAAAATTTTGTGGGAATTATTTCCACCTCAGACCATTTTTCATCGCATATCTACTACACTATATACGTTGTTCCGTGGTTTGGAAAACGTCGTTCAATGAATGACAAATTCAAACACCAAGTACAACGTTAGTTTTGATGTATTGTGTGGTTGTCGTCGCCCACTCACTTGGCAAAGTTGGAAGCTATGTTGATGCAATGTTGAAGCAATTACTAAAATGGACGTTCAGCAATATTGTGAAGGTGAAGTTTGATAATGTAGCGTTGCAGCAATAAAACATGTTGCTGTGACATTGGTGGAATGTTACATTCACAAATTCACATTCGCAATATTGCTGAACGTCTGTTTCAGTAATTGCTACAACCTTGCATCAACATAGCTTCAGATTTGCTTAGTGGGAAATTGCTACTTGGGAATAAGATCTGTTCGACTTGTCCTGTGAGACGTTAGGATTATCTGTAAAGTGGGCTTTGGGCTACAGTGTCTTTAACTTCCAAGGTAATCATTTATCTCAGAATTGATAACAGATCGATACTTATCAAACTCTGCAGGAGATAGAATCAAATACTGTTGAAGCAGTTCTTTTTAAAAAATGTCATGTTACAATAAAAAAAAATTCTACATATATGATATGGGATTTCAATATGCAACAAGTACCAAACTGTTGCAGTATTTCGATATTCTGCTCTATACATTACTCTTTCTCTCATAAGTTGATACCTGATGCCTCATACTGATAACGTGGTCAAGAAAATATGAGATAAACTCACACACATTCTATTTATACCTAGCGAAAACTTCGACAGTTATTTATATCGTTATGCTTTATTCCTCTTCTTTAGTCCCAGCCAGAATCCATCTCTACTAGAAAGGGTGAAGGTTTTTCCAAATCTCAATGGAAACGGGGTTTTTTCTATCACAACAATGTCAAACCGTGCCATCAACATTGCGATTAAGGTTTTGCACTCTAGAAGAGCAAATCTCGAACCTGAAAAATTAAATGAACTCTCAATCGGACCAACTTCAGAAAATAATGTAATCACGAATATGCATGGTACCCAGACAGAATGAGGCCACAGCGCTCGATTAACACAACTATACAAAAATCGTCTAGATGGACCATGCAACTCAGGATCAAGCGTTTCGCTTGCGCATCGAACCTTGTACCAATTTCTCGATTGTATTTCTCACTGCCTGAGGAAGGTGTAGTTCGAGATCCACCACGACCAAATTATTTATTCATTTTTGGGATTTCAGATAGAATTCAACGTGGATGTGAATGCAGGCTTTCACTGATGGTACCTGTTCTATTTTCACTCATATCAATCATACATTATCGTTGATGTATTCCACTGCCAGACGGTACCCTCAAGTATATGCTGTCATTTGTTAACGTGATTTGTTGCCGTATTGAGGAACAGTTCATTTCATATTATATCCATAACGTTGCAGTCATACGTAACTTATGACTTTCAGGTACTCATAGAAAGACTTGTCTCATGAAATGGTACCAAGTTCTACTTCATTTTGGTTGGTTTTCCCAATGCTCGCTTCGCAATGTTTTGAATTTTGTTTCTTCGATTGCTTCTGATCATCTTAAATTTTTCAGTTAACATCTGAGGCTGATGTAAATGAATATATCAGACCACTCACAGAGGTGGAGAACTCCAAAACAATAACTGAAGGATTTGAGAAGGTACACAATTTGATACTAATATTGAGAATGATTCTGGGTAGTAGGATGTGATTAGGTATCTTCAACAAATTAGAGGAAGACAATCCAAGAAATCGAAAATATTGCAAGCATAACCATTGAAGAATGATAAGGAAGTTGTGAAAGAACAAGAAGTGAGAGTAGCAGAAAATGCCATTGAGTTGCAATGCTCCTCATCACTCTCTAGAAGGTTGCAATGAAGAAATTTATTGGTTGTTTCTATAACTGTAATGAATTTGTTATATAAAAATGTCATTGCAAATTCCACTTTATATGCTCTACAAAGAAATTAGATACTAAACACTAATGAAGATAAGCTGTTAGTCTTCATAGGTTAGAATATATTGATGGGATACCATGAGGTTCCTAGTTGGAGGCACTATTGGTCTACATCGAGATCCAGGAGAATCATTGGTATCTTCGACAATGTTCAAGGATCGATTCGATGCAATTTTGAGCAACCTATACATATAAATCATAACGCACATATGCGCAACAAAAGAACATATAAACTAGATAAGTTACGACCAATGATTGATGCACTAAATCATTCAGCTGCACCTACAATGGTACGAAAGAACATGAACAAAAAATGTTGTTGAAAAATGTGTTTTTTCAAAAAAGAATCAAATGGATATAATATGAAGACAAAAATAGAACAGTGAAGGATGAATATTCAGTATTCGGACGTGGTGAAAGAGTTGCCCTGAGTTCGACTGAAGAGGAATGGAGAAAGAATCGTGTTATATATTTCAACAATAACTTCCTTATCTCACCTCTATTGAGGAAATTTAAGACTGAACAAACACTGGCATGAGGGACAGTAAGATTTGATAGGAACGGGCTACTTATTATGATTGATAACAAATGTCTGAAACTGAGAAACTATAAGATTCTCGCTTCCCCTCAATAAACATACAGGGTTGATTTAAATGATCGTAGCATCGTAGTGTCCGTTCAGAAATGGTGCCGCTCTCTGCTCATGTTGTTTACATAAGGATTGGAGCGATCGAATCTGTTATAGTTTCTATCTCCATAAGTGGAAAGCGGCGATAATGTACAGAAACCCTGTAGGAGTACAAGAGTGGCAGGATAAGAAGACTGCATAATGTGGCCACTAATTTTCATGCAAGGAAGGTAACCTACGTGGAAAAATATGGCTCAAAATTACAAGTTCCGGCTTCAACAGCAGTAGATCACAACAAGTTCTTTGGGGTTGTGTACCATGCAGATCGATTGGGGGATGTCTATTGTCCAGATAGAAGATCCAGAAAATGGTGTCACTGATTGTTTTGGATTCTAATAGGCATAGCCTCCCTAAGTACGCACGATGTGTCACGAACATTATATGAATTTCCTTTCGTAAGCTCCAAGAGATACAAAATGCCTGTGTTATTCATCAAGATTTTGGAAAGAAAAGTATCTCCTTGAATTTCGTCGCCTTGGGCCAAATAACGCATAAACGTTGTGCAACTACCAGGCGAAGTCTATAACAGCTGATGTTTGGCTCTCAAATAGGAATGCACATTGGAATATTTTTATTGACAAACGATGGGGATGTGAAGACTGCAGCAGAAAAGGTATATTCTGAACCTCTCTCAAAATGTTCTGTTGTCATACTATCAAGAATTGTTTTTCCCGAATTTTTTGATTGATCAGACAACATGGAGTTCTAGCCACGGACATAGGAACTACGGGTACCAAAGTCGTTTATAATAATGTTTATGGGTCCGGCTAGACGCTCGTGACAATACAGAATTATATTTACGAGCAAAGCTCCACTCACACGTCACATAGTGACTTTCTATGAATGAAATTTTGATATTCGGTATGGACATGTATTCAGTGATGCCCAAATTATTGAACATAGTCCTAGAAACTGGTCACTACCGGCTATACCGGTTCAAATTGAAGATGAATAAAATTACTGCAACTTCACTTCCGACAATTTTCCTCGTTTGACTCAGTATTTTCTCCAACATTTTGCTCAGAAGTGACCCAAAACTTGAAATTTGACTGTTTTGACAAACTGACCCATTTTCAAAGTGTTGTATCTAGGGCACTGCTAATTATTCAGTCCTGCAGTTGGAATCATATCGTAGCAAATTTCTTCTTTGAGACAGGTTTGGTTGTTTTTCTTGCTGATACACATACTTTTCAGGATTATAAGCAAAATACCAAGACAAATGCGGAAGTTTCGATATTTTTCGCCCACGTTCTTTCCAAACGCACTTGAAAATTTTGTTAGATGGTTCCAAATTCGGATTCATCACACCGAAACAGATAGGGAACGATGATGAAACCAACTACTGGATTTTTCGCAACGTAAATCTACAGTTAAATTGGGTACAACATTCAGAAGTGTATCACTATGTAGGAGAGTAAAAACACTAGGTAGCCCTGAATATTGAGTTTTCAGAGTATAATAGGTGAACCAATTTTCAATTCATCATTCTGGAAATTGTTGGAGAAAACTTGAAAAACACAAAACAATCTCAGACTTCGACACCCTATATATCGGAAACGAAGCTTTCACGCATAAATGTTCACATGACATTTCCTTCTTCAAAATAATACGCGTTTTTCAAGCTGTTGAAGTTATGCTATGAAAAACTGGCTCACCCATTAAGTCCACCATATCTATGCTCGGTATTTCCATCAGCAACACTCTTTCATGGGATAATCATGTCAGATCCATCGCAAAAGCTGCTTCACAAAAACTCGGATTCTTGTTCCGTGCGAAAAGCTACTTTACACCTCAACAGCTTCTCATGATCTACAAAGCGCAGATACGGCCTGTTCTAGAATACTGTTCCCACATATGGGGTTCAGCACCAAAACATACGCTGATGCTCTTAGATTCCATCCAGAGAAGAGCCATTCGCCTGGTGGGTGACACCACACTCACTCACTCTTTGACATCATTGGAACACCGTAGAAAGGTCGGCGAACTTTCACTTTTCTATCGATACTTCCACGGGAAATGTTCTTCGGAAATCTCTGCAATCATCCCTTCACTAGCAATACCAATCAGACGCACTAGACAAGCCCAGTCAGCACATCCTTTCGTTGTCAACCTCGAAAGATGTCGAACAGCACTTTATCAAGACTCCTTCATCCATAGAACGGCTAGGCTCTGGAATTCATTGCCTGTGGAAGTATTCCCAACAACATATAATCTCCAAAAATTCAAAAAAAAATCCAATACCTACCTCCTGTCCCTATCCTCCCTAGGAACGCACGATGTTCTTTGAACATTATAGGGATTCCCTCTCGTGCGCTCCAATCGATAAAAAAAAAAAAAAAAAAAAAAAAAAAAAAGTGAAATATGCGGTCTTCAGGACCCGAAAACTGTCCCGAATTTCATGAAACTTGTATCTCTGATCGTTATGAGCAGCATATTGAAACACATCCTTCATGATATGAACCCTAAACGCAAAAGACAGATGGGTGTCTTTCATTCAGAGGTTCGCCTCATACTATACCTTTAGCTTTTTGAACTCGATTCGGCATCGCTGTGGATACTTACCTATACAATTTCGAGGTCCACTTCCAAAAGGCAAATAACTCCCTGGTAGTATCTTCTTTCGATTTTCCTCACTGAATCTATCTGGATCGAATTTATCTGGCTCTGGAAAATAGTCTGGATTCATATGTATTCCAGCAACAGGAATGGATACCAAAGTTCCTTTATCAAGGATGAAATCAACCTCATTACTACATTTAGCTTCAATTTTGTAGTCTTTCACACAGGTTCTGGTTAAAATAAACCCCGATGGATATTTCCTGAGAGTTTCTGAGATAACTTGGTCTAGATACTTCATTTTGAGTAATGAGTCGTAAGAAATATGTCCATTGCCTTTTGCGATAACATCGTCAATTTCTTCCTGAAGTTTCAGCTGGATGCTGACATCTACAGCTAGTTGATAAGATAAAAAAGAAAGCAATGTTGAACTGGTATCGAAACCAGCAATAAAAAACACCAAAGCCTGAGCAGTGATCAGATCATCAGTTAGTTCTAATTGCATTCTGGGAGATTTTTCCTCTTGAGTTTCTTCGACACTAGCGAATCCACTGCTGATTTCTGTATTGATATCATCGTCATTTTTCAATCTACCTCGTTTTGCTTCCATGAGTAGATGAATCATATCAGGCCGGATTATCTGCTTCTCCTCTCTCATGGATATTGTTTCCTTGACTAGGCGTTGGAAGAATTCCGTAAGTTTTCGTGGAAATATCGGTATTCGAAATATCTGAAAATCAATTATATCAGATGTTGCTTTGATTATTTCGTGCTAGTACGACATTTTTCGAAAACTTCACAATATCCTCATGACTACTGAGAATAAGTAATAAAAGAGTTTCAGATTGAATTTATCTTGATAATTAAGCTGTGAAATCAACATAGATCGAGAAGTTTAATGTCATACAATTATAATAAGTACAAATTGAGTTATCGAATGAATCAATGGAATTGAATGAACCTCAAATATATGAAAAGAGAGAAACAAAAGAGTTGATGTATCAACAGCATAATTATTTGAACTCATCCACTTTGATATAGTGAATTCCACAATGAAAAGGAGTGAACACTCTCATTGAAGGACTATGTCTACCACAAAATCATTCAGATAGACGGCAGGATAGCGCAGTTGGTAATCAGAACATCGAAAGGTTGCTAGGTTCGAATCCCTGACAGAGAAGAGGAATTCTATTTGAAAAACGAGTTGTTGATTATTCTAATTTAAGTAGCCTCAGCCGGCGATGATTCCGCACGAATCGCTTCTGCGTTCCAATCAACAGTGCTCCTTCTAAGGTGGCGTATGGAGTCAGTAATAAAGCCTACACGAAATACACATGGGCTGGAGAACCTCTCGTAAGGCCGATGGCCAGTTGGTATGTACAATTATAACAACGAAGTGAATGAACTACTACTCCTACTGATTCAGTTATAAGTTACTTCCTTCCGAAATGTATTCAACAATCGGTATGAACGGATACTGTTCCGAATGTATCCAACCCAAATACCGAATTGTGTTCGAAACAAAGGCAGATTAACGCTTGACGACCACACACTGGTTTCGGACTTTTCACCCTTTTCAGTTCAGACAGTCCTCAGACCGCAATCTTTGTGAAACCTGACCTAACAAATATTCAAATCGACATTTATCTGCTCAATTGCAACATGGAAACAGCGACATCTATAGCAGAGGGAAGGAAATACTCCAAAACGGATATTTCTATCTCTATCGCTAAAAATCGGACTCACTGGCCGCTGGCGTTGAGAACCATCTCGAATAAAGGAAAGAGATATATACCAATCGTTTCAAAGATTTCAGAAGAATATAAGTATTTCAATTTTCCATTCCACTTTGAGCGTTTTGACTATTTTGTAGTTCTCATAATCAGATCAGAGCATTATTTGCATTTACAAATACTTTTTGGTATTCAAATACTTTTCTGTATTTAAATACCGAGTATTTGAATACTTTCTGGTTCAGGTAATTATATTTATACTCACAAATATTTGTTGAAATATATTCATAACTTAGTATCTGCAAATAGATTCGCAAAGTATTTAAATATATCTGAAGTATTTAAATACTTTCGGAGTATGTATTTAACTTCGGAAGTATTCAAACTTTGAAGGTTTTCATATACTTTGGAAGTATTTAAATACTTCGGAAATTCTCAGATATTTTCAATATCCGGAAGTATTCAATACTTAATATTCAAATACTTCTCTCAAAGTATTTGCCCAGCTCTGCTCATAGTCACTCATCTTCAAGATTTATGACTCTTCTCAATCCATTTTTCACACTAATTTTATTCTCCATTCCATTTTATCCCATTTTAACATTCTTTTGCCTTTTTGGTTCTCTTTATCATTTTTATATAACAATATAGGAGTCCGAAACAAGTCTACTCTTCATCAAGTGTCAATAACAATTCTCTAACCCTACAAACTTTTTTTTCAGATCGATATACCTACCCGCTTAACTTTCTCATATAGATCGACAATGGTCAAACCAACAACTAATTGCTTTTAAGATCGATTAACAAATCCCAGTAGTCCCAATGATACGTTTAGTTGACATTTTCTGGAAGTGGAATGAGTAGGATAAACGTCACCAGTTATTCTTGAACAGTGTCATCCCAGTCATAACATCAACGTTATATCAAATACGTTTCGATAACATATTGTATTCATCGTGAATAAGTTGTTCGAACGTTCACAATTAACTATACAGGCAGACTGACAAAAAACGCCCCGATCCGTAGCGCCGCTATTTATTATCCGATTTTGAAAAGCAAGAATTCAAGTGAAATAACTCATGAGATACTACAAGGTGGCACAAACAATTTTTTTTTCCAATTTCAACTATAACCACCGATTGTCAACTTTTTTTTTCAAATACCATTGTATATTTTTTAATTTTTTTTCTGATAGAGATTTCTTTTCTGAATACAACGATATATCACACTTGAGGTCTAGCGAGAAAGATTACAGAGATATAGGGTGTTCAAAATCGAGATTTTTCAACTTTAGGATCTTTTGTGTTGAAACTATTCATCATTGGTCAAAACGGCTCACATGTCTCTATCTCAACTTTTGATTTACTATCTACTGACATTAATTGGAACAGATACAGGGTGATCAGAATTCTCTGATTCTTGAACCACCCTGTATTTGTTCCAACTAAATGTCAGTAGATAGTAAATCAGAAGTTGAGATAGGCACATGCAAGCCGTTTTGACCAAAAATGAATAGTTTCGACACAAAAAAAAATCCTACAGTTGAAAAAGGCTTTGGAAGTCTTTGGTCGTTGGAAGTCTGGTGTACACATTTTTCCTGGAGATTTACCCCTCGGATCACCCTGTATCTGGTCCAATTACATGTTAGTAGATAGTGAATCAAAAGTTGAGAGAGGGACATGGGAGTCATTTTGAACGAATATGAATAGTTTCGACACAAAAAATCCAAAAAATTCAAAAATCTCAATTTTGAACACCCTATATCTCTGTAATCTTTTCCGCTAGACCTCATGTGTGATACATCATTGTATTCAGAAAAATAATCTCAACCAGGAAAAAAATTTGAAAATATACAATGCCATTTGAAAAAAAAAGTTGACAATGGGTGTCGTTATAGTTGAAATTGGATGAAGAAATTGTTAGAGCCACCTTGTTGTATCTCATGAGTCATTTCATTTGCTTTTTTGTTTTTGAAATCAAATGATAAATAGCGGCACTACGGATCGGGGCGTTTTTTGTCAGTCAGCCTGTATGTTTCTATTCTGACTATCATTGATATGAGTGTCACAATAGTTTTCAGTAGGTTATGAAATTTTTCAGTAGATCAATATGCAAATCAGAAGATTACTGAAAATTCAGTAGAACTGGCAACCCTGCTGCGGACGAAAATCGATTGTGAACGAAATGTTAGTGTCTGCAGACGAACAGTACTCGCCTTTGAGAATAGTCGGTTTTTCATTCGAAAATTTTAACGGAAAATGAGATTTTTTGTAGCCGTCGGCGAAAAATATATTTTCGAAAATGCGGTGTTGCTACATCTATGAGAAAGTAGTAGAAACTTTGGATCTTCGAATGGAACACCCAATACATATTTTCAGAATCTCCAACAATTTTTCAGCAAATTTGTCTTGATACTTCCCTATACCTATCTGTTATCGTTTCCGAAATGAAAATTAATTAAAATTTTTCGAAAATCATGACCTCTAAAACTACTGATATCTTGGTGTCAAGAAGAGCTATGGTGACGAGATTTGGTTCGGAGCTAGTTTATACTTGTATGCTTCCCACACTTTTGCTCGATCTTCATTACTTCAATACAGGGTGGTGAAAAAATACAGTTTTTTCGTCTGCTTGAAAAATTGACTGAACGTTGATCTTGTACACTTTTTTATTGAATACGACTGTATATCATGCCTATACCTAACTAGTCAGATTTCGGCCTCATGAGCATTCATTTGTGAAAATGTTCTCGATACGTATGGATTACCTTCGAAAAGAGCACTGGGAAACTTGAAAGTAGGAATATTGATATGAATAAATGAAACAAAGTGAAAGAATTATGTGGAATATTTAAAAAAGGTTCTAATCGCTCAACGTTCACTTCACTTCCAAACGCTTCAAAATGCGAGTGTTGACTGCTTTTGTCGTTGCAGATCTGATGGGATTCGGATCCAAATCTTCAAATGTTTTGGTGATCCTTCGTAACAATGGATCTCTCAAACGCACGGGTGTAAACTTCTTCAAACATTCTCCACAGATACAAAAAGAATAATCAGGTAATCTCGCTGGCCAATTCAATGGTTCCAAGCGTCTTATGCACCGATCGTCGAAGAAGTCTTTGTGCAGGAGCCCTGTCTATAGTTGTTACCGACACTATACAGTGTGGAAACTTTAACCGGAATAAGTTGAAATGTAATTTTGAAATTATTTTATATTATTATTCAACGTACCAATAGTTCAAAATATGTGTTGAATAATTGATGGCAATTTTTTGCCACAGCTTCTATCTGCTATTCTCTACCTGAGAGCGAAACTGTATTAACTCCATTTTTCCTCAAATCGGTATCAAGTTTTCTTTCTACTAAACGACACTCGCTTTTTCACATGGAATATAGTATTAAGTCCTATATAATATACTTTCGAAGTTAGCCAAGGTTGAACAGTATTATATCATTAACCTTCTCCGAGCAAAAGAGTATTATATGGAGTTAATATTGTTGAATAAACTTAACATGTGTGGACAAAATACAGTTTTTTCGTGTAAAAGAGTATTATGAAGTTGATTTTGTTATAGAAGATTTGTAGGTAAGGACATGATACAGTTTTCAGTGCCATGTATTTTGTGGGACGAATCTAAGTCAGGACGTGGGGCAAATCAAATGGCTTCTGGCATTCTCAAATTGGCAGAGACTTCAAGTGAGAGCATCAAAGAGATCAATATCTGGTCAGATAACTCGGTCAAAAACTTTCAATGCTGCTTATATGGTAGCACCTGATTTTGGAGATTTTAAATCTTTGTAGACTTCGTATAGCTCACCCTTTACTGTACGTAAGAGAACTGATGAAAGTGAAGGTTTTTCATATGTCAAACGTGGTTCTCCTACAAGCACGCAGTGGAAATATAGGTGTATTATTGTATTTCAGATCACATTTTGAGGCAACCAAGTTTGAATGTGTCGATCTTGAAAGAAATAGCAGGCGTGTTGTTTTTTTCCTGAGCTTTCATCTCAAATTCGTTAGCAAGCGGAAGAAATTTCGATCAAGAATTATAACCACCTACAGTCTTTACTGCCCTTGATTCCAAGCATTTTTCACGGTTTTTATGGAAATTTAGCTCATTCTGATAAGACAACGAACGATATTCAATAATCAACAGTAGTTAGCTTCAGTTTCCTGTCCTTTTTTTGACGTTGCAATCATTAAAAATTGAAAATAAATAATTTCAGAATACATTCACAGTATTTTATTGCCCATATTAACACCATTTTCATTTTCAAGAAAGTATTCAATACAGTTTTTCATCGAAGTATTAGGGTCGAACGGTATTAACTCCATCAAATTGACTTTTTAATTTTTTTTTTTTTTGAGAAATTAATGAAATATTTGGAAAATTAGCCAAGGAAAATCTGAGAATATCCACATTTCATCATTGAGTTCATTTGCTTCTTTGATTGAATACATATTTTTTATCAACTTGATGTCTATATAAACTCTCAAATTGCTCTGCTGTAAAATTTGATTTTTGTGAGTTAATACAGTTTGGCTCTCAGGTACAGTATTGTATCCCAGTGTTTTCATAGAGCCACGAAGAGAAATTTGGTTATTTTTGTCAGATTCACAGTGCCTATGGGTGGAAATGCTTTAGATCACTGTCACTACAAGTCGAAATTTTGATTAAAATTCGTTGAAAATGTATTGAACTTCGAAGCAATATTTTGATTTTATGCGACCCCCAAACGTACTGCAAACTGAAATATGATCAGTACTCTGGATTCCTCTACCAACCAGCATTTGAAAAAACATGTTGTGGTTGATTCTAGCTACCCCTGAAGGGTAATATTCTCCATATCGCTCGCCCAATGTAGATGAATATATTTACACGTTGACGTGTATTATTCCAATTGAAGTATCCAGCCTGTATTCTTTAAGTGGCACATTATCGACGAAGTTATCTACAGTATATTCCAAAATATTTATAAGAACTGCGTGAAGTGACGAAAATGTCTATGTTATTAGGAGACTGTCACAACATCCCAACGTTACTGTCATATGGTAATCATGGCTTGCTTAACAAATATACCTTAATGGGGATACCATTCTGCAGGAACATTTCCACAAATAAATGCTGATGAGTCCGAAACTTGACTCTTTAGGTATAAGCATGATATACATAGATCGAGAGCCAATTTCAGCAGCTTCCCAAATTTCAATGATATACAGGGTGTTTCAACTGAAATAATCGACTACCATTCACTTTCCTAAGCAAACGAATAAACTGTATCTTTCACCACCCTGTATCAAACTAACGGAGATCAGGATGAAGCATGAGAAGCCTCTAAGTATCATCTAGCATCGAACCAAATTTCATCACATAGCTTATCTCGAAGATATCAGCATTTTTAGAGGACATGATTTTCGAAAAAAAAAATCTGATTGATTTTCATTTCGAAAACGGTAACAGGTATAGGGAAATATCAAGAAAAGTTGTAGGGAAATCTTCAGAGATTCAAAAAATATTATTATATATGGAGTATTCTGTTTGAAAAATCAAAATACCGCATTGTCGAAAATATTTCCGTTGGGTGGAAAATGTTCAAAAAAGCTCTTCATCAAATTCTCAAAGTATTCCGGTGTCTAGTTCACAATTAACGTATCATATCAGCCTGTGAACGTTTCTAGCTGGAACAATACAAGAACAATTTTCCGTATCTCTGTAAAGATATGAATTCATGATTTGAAAACACATTCTCACTTTTGAAATTCGTTATTCTCCTACCACAAATTCAATGCGTTTTCAACGGTCACTAATTTTGAATTTTGTTTCGACGAATAGGTGTGTCCACTGAAAAAAACCAAAATAATACATAAGCATACCCACCAACCTCAAAAAAGTGTGGGAAAAATGCAGCAAAAATGCTTCTGAACACAGCGAAACCTTTTGGTTGAGATATTCCAGATCCCATTACGAAAAACTCATTTTTATCGTTTTTCAAGGAGTCACATTCAACTCCAAAAGCACAAGTCGCAATCACGTCACTGGCAAATTTCGAATATGTATTCTTCATTTCCAGCTCTATGACGGCCTCAGGATGGTTATGTAAATGATTCACAAAATTTTCAGCAGCTTCTGAAAAGAAAGAAAAGAAATAATTATGGAATGAATAAATGAACGATTGTCTTCCTCTTTCAGTTCGTCGCAACTTCTTGCTTTTGCCAGCCAAGAAACTATCATCAAGAAGGGTCTACTCAAGTGCAAATCGGTTGAATAGGATGATTTGAGAGATTTCTAGTTTGGTCTGAAACATACCTCAAAAAAGATTCTACTTTTTTGCATAAGTTATCTCAGACAACTAATAATTATTACTAGGAATGTAAATGTGAACTTTTCCTACTCTCCCAAGTTCTTTTTATCAAGCAAACCTTGATTCTTTGGTTCTTGTACTCGAGCTAATGCCAACAAAATTCAACTCTTCGCATCTGACGAAAATATCCAGTCATTGATCATGGAGCTATATTCGTTAAATCAAGGAACATTGAATTGTTAAATCATCAATGAGAAGAAGAATGTTGCGACCACTGCATACGTTTTCAGGGCCTGTTATATATCTTACTCTTATTTGTTTCCGAACACCAAACCGCACAATACGATTGACAGTTTGGATCATGTTGTGCTCTGGGACGATAGACTGATTATGCAGTATACTCTATCTATAGATTGATTGATATACAGTTCTCAACACACTAAATGGACCACTCATAATTTGACTCTATTTCCAAGACCTGTATTTCTTGAAAAAATTGACAGATCTTCATGCGGTTTTCGATATCAGATGTGATATTTCATCGGCTTCAAAGAGAGCTAGAACTCTCTGAGAAAGTCCGCAGAACAAAACATACACAGGGTGTAAAGTGGAACCATTACACTATAGTCTACATTTCAAATGCGGCGACCTCGAGAAAATTTTTTCTGATCAAAAATCAGTCATATTATGATACACTGGGACGTCATCTCGGGACATTTTCGTGATTTCTCCTTAATTGGCCATTGGAACAAAATTTCGATTTTTTGTCGAAAGTCTTGCGCTGACTATTGGAAAGGACTGTTTTCATGTTTTGTGGAAGACAATGAAAGGCGAAAAAAGCACTATTGTGGAATATATAGGATGATGAGAAAATAGGACAAAATCTCATTTCAGTAAAAAAAAACAAAAATGGTGACTAAAACCATGGCCCATTCGATTCAGTATATTCAGAAACGGCCTTCTCGATATCCATTATTTATATTAGACTATTAACTCGAGACATTTTCAAAAATTCGCCTCTAATTGAAATACAGGATGAAAATTTTCAATGCAAACTTGTTTCCTGATATCGATAATTCTCATCAACTGATATCCAATATTTTTTGTCCAAATATGAGACAGAGAGTATTGTTGTTCAATATATTGAGTGTTTCAGAACTCACAGCTCAAGTGGACCCATAGAGAAAAATTTCAAGAAATGCAAGACTTTCGAAAAAAATTGAATTTTTGTTCCAATGGCCAATTAAGGAGGAATCACAAAAATATCCCGAGATGATAGGTCCCAGTGTATCATATTATGACTGACTTTTGATCAGAAAAAAAATTCTCAAGTTCTGGCAGCATTGTAATGTAGACCATAGTGTAATGGTTCCACTTTACACCCTGTGTACGTTTAGTTCTGCGGACTTTTTTAGAGTGTTCTAGCTCTCGTTGAAGACGATAAAACATCCCATCTGATATCGAAAACCGCATGAAGATCGGTCAATTTTTTCAAAAAATACAGATCTTCGAAATAGATTCAAATTATGAGTGGTCCATTTAGTGTATTGAGAACTGTAGTTGGCTTAAAATTAATTTCAATCGTTGCTATCTTTCTTTGTTTTGGTAACTTGGAAGAAATAATAACCAGTCTAGTTTGAATAATCTTCAAATGAGGTTGCATTTTAATTTGGCTGCCACTTACAATACTACATTTCGGCGACAAGGATACAATATGAACATAAGCTGACAGAAAAATATTCACATTCAGAGCATATGGCACAGGAAACTGCAACTGCACTAACTCTCCAGGCCTCTACAAGCAGTATTATGTTGAAGGGATCCTCATCGATATAAACCAAAGCGGTGATAGAAGTGCACCAACTACAAACCAATTCTAGTAAAATTACTCCCAAAAAGTGCACCTCTATGAGGAGAATTCCTAGATGTTTACGTTGTGTAGGACAACATTGAGCAAAAAACTGTGAATCAGTACATCAATTCTGCAAGAAGAATGGCCATATCAGAAAGCTTGTTTAGCAAATCGAGCAAAAATTTCGGCAGTAGCACAACCAAGATGAAGAATCACCATCAGCTGAAAGTGCTGTCCTGTCCATTGAAGATGTCTACGAGTCGACAATGTTATAATGTCTCGGACAGTACAGGTTCTACCATAGACAAGATTGTAGTTCCGGTAATAATCATCGAAACGATGCAAACATGGCAGTAGATTCTAGAGCGGCCCATAGTATGATGAAAGAAAAGGTTTTCAGAAAGAATTTCGAGCGTAATGACCCAAAATTGAATAGCTCGAATGTTTTTCTCGATCGGCAACATTAAACGTCTTGCACTCCTACCACTAATTGAAGTTAAGTAAATTCGGCCAAGTTCACTAGGTGGAGATTGGTTTATAGCGTTTGAACTGATAATAAGCAAGATTCATAACTTTCCGAACTATATAGCAGAATGTTCTCATGTTTTTCACGGCAAACTGGGTTGATTCAAAGGTTTATTCATAAGTTACAACCAGAGCCCAGACAGCATACTCATGGCTATCGAATCTAGAAAGGTACCATTTGCCAATGAGGTGATTAGAGAAATAGACAGATTAGTGGAACAACATCCCAGATAACACACATACATCCATTGGATGTCCATTTTGAATCCATTAGGTAGCCGGATGTCCATGGATGTCCAATGGACATCCATTGTGTATATGTACAATGGACATAGAGATTTGTACATACAATGGACATCCATTTTGTAGTTGTACAATGGACAACGAAATTTTTACAGCCAATGGATATCCATCATACTTATATCCAATGGAAATCGTTTCGCAAAGTGTATATGTGTCATTTATGACTCTTCTATTTCAATTGAAATATTTTTACCAATAATATATAATATATATATGAACATTAATCACGAACAACTTCGCACTCGGTACTATTTTTCAAGATTTTATACGTCTCATCATTTTTGTAGGTTGCGTACCTATATAGAGGTAGGTACTTATTTTAAAGTTGATTTTCATCCAATTTCAATTTTAAACCATTTAGGCCGTGCAAATAAGATCGATATGGGCAAATATTATACGGCGGGTTTCTTTCGAAAAAGATGAATCACCCTGTAATACTTTTGATAAGGGCCGTGTAAAAGCTTTATTGCGGCACTAAACTTCAGCAAATTGCATTTTCTCTCGATGTGTAATACCGTGAATACGAAATACTTGCTATAATATTTATAACAGCTCAGTGGTCCAGAGGTTAGCGTTGTGATCCACGAGATCGGGGTCGGGAGTTCAATCCCCTCAAAGGACAACTTTTTTTTAATTTCTACGTTCTGGCTGGACAAAATTTGGATATCCAATGGAAATCCAATGTATTCCTGATGAGTATCCAATAGACTTATCATTGGAATGGACATAAGTTGGATTTTTGGTAGACATCCATTAGAGTTCTAATGTGTATACAATGGTATTTCAAATGTAATGGACATACAATGGATCTTCATTGGGAATCCATTGGATGTCTGATGAGTATCCAATAGACTTCCAATGGAAAGGACAAATATTGGATGTCCAATGGAAATCCATCAGATGTCTAATGGAAAGCCAATGGACTTCCAATGTATGTCCAAACTGTTGGACATGTATTATCCAATGGATGTCCATTGGACAAATACTGGACAATGCCGTCCATCCAATGGATGTCCAGGGTATCCATAGCTGGACATCCATTGGTTGTCCAATGGATTCACTTGTGTTGTCTGGGATGTGCTCGAACTAGTGGCACACCCTAGATGGGTGTTATCTACAGCGGTAATGTCGTGCGAACATGCGGGACTATTGGCAGTGCCCTCCATCAAGTTTCGCATGCTGACACTCACATTTGTTCTTCAGTACATAGAATCCTTGCTGCATTGGCTGGAGAAAGAAGTTTCACCGAATTGGATATGCAGACTCAAAAAAATCATTCGTATCAGTGATATTTATTTATTTATTTATTTATTTATTTATTTATTTATTTATTTATTTATTTATTTATTTATTTATTTATTTATTTATTTATTTATTTATTTATTTATTTATTTATTTATTTATTCATTCATTCATTTATTTATTTATTTATTTATTTATTTATTTATTTATTTATTTATTTATTTATTTATTTATTTATTTATTTATTTATTTATTTATTTATTTATTTATTTATTTATTTATTTATTTATTTATTTATTTATTTATTTATTTATTTATTTATTTATTTATTTATTTATTTATTTATTTATTTATTTATTTATTTATTTATTTATTTATTTATTTATTTATTCATCCAAACAGGCCTATGGGCCTAATTACATGGATTACATAAATATAAAATAATTACCCATCTGAAGTGGCGATTAAACCTAACAATAATCAATTCAAGTGAGTACAAGATAATATACCTAATCATTACAAATAATGTTACATAACAGAAAAGTGGAAAACAAAGGAAAAAAAAGGAGAGAGAAGAGAAATGTAGGGATTCTTTCCCAAAATCAAACTGATAAATCGAGAATGACATTTAAGATTTCTCTGCGAAATGTAGTTTCAGGGAGCGACCACTCAAATGAAATTAGAGTGTTATAATGGTTAGCCAGTCGAAGCATGATTAAAAGAGGGGATTTAGATAACTTCCTAAGAGGTACATTGAGCAAGCGTGAGGATCGAGTACGGCGAGGAGGTACATTAAATGGTAGCAAAGCAAGAATGTCGGGGCAATCAATTTTATTATTCATAATTTTATATAAGAATATCACACATATTAAGCTACGTCTCTGATCCAAAGATAGTATTTTA